ATTTGGAACCATGGCCACGCAAACTTTTTCGGTCCTCAAAGGCAGATGAGAACTTTTTCCAGGTAGCTTTTCATAGATATGAACCCCACGGAAACACGTTCTATGCATTTAGGTCCTCTACCAATAATATTAGTTCCTCAGAAATAGGTTGGCTGGCCTCTTTACCTAAAAAGCCGGAATGCAAAAGTAATAAAAGGCATACTCGGACAACATCGAGGTCATCCATATGAGTAAAACCATCTTTAACAAGTAATCTTTTCAAGTTGTCGACGTGTAAACTGGGCTTCGCCTTTGCCAGCTCAGGAAAAACCCAAGATAACCATGATAGGCGGGCGATATGACTAGTGTACCGACCTACTTCATCATGTCCAAAGCGTAGACCAGTGATTAAGCAAAACTCCTCCCGCCCAAAACAAGTATACGCCAGTGGAAAATGAAACCATATCTCTTCATCACCACGTTGTATCCTCTCGGGTAGATCTTTAGTCATGGTCTGAAGAAACAAATGGGTCAACATAGCATCTCCACCTGGATGTTGTACTTTCAGCCATGGCCCGAAGCAAGTATCCTCAAACAATTTTCTTGTACAGGTGTAAGTGTCGACGCAATTGTAGTGGCTAGGCTTAATTTATTCCTTAGAGTCAATGAAGCCGAAAAAAATTTCTAACAAAAAAAATAAACATATCAAGTTAGATATACCAAAAACTACAAATTATACACTATAAACAGACATGATATTAAACAGTGAAAACAAAGTCAAATATGTTTCAAACTAGCACGGTATTCACCCAAGTCATTATTCTATCATAGTTCACAAAATGCATCAGATAACATTCCAGAAGTAAGCACTTATATAAAGATTTAAAAGGATAACATATAGGTTTAGTGCATGTTCAAGGACAACATAAAGAGTAGTAGTTTATTCTTGAAACTTAAATTTGCAACACTGTGAAGTTAGTATTTGTCTTTGTTTTTTGGTTGAAGTAATGCAATTCATTCAAGTTTCAATTTGCAGAAGAAGAGTGGTTTCTGAAACTTAAAATCGCAACGCGAAAATAAAAATTGCAACGCGAAAATGAAAATCGTAGCGCGAAACTAAAATCACATTGCGATTTTTGCGTTGCGATTTTCATTTTCGTGTTGCGAATTTAAGTTTCAAAAACTATTCTTCTGCAAATTGAAACTTGAATGAATTGCATTACTTCAACCAAAAGACAAAACAAAGACAAATACTAACTTCACAGGGTTAAAGACTAAACGTTTAGCAGTATTGACAGCAACGAATAATTTTCTAAAGAATCTAAGTGAAATGGTTAATCTATTATTGAAATTACCAGTAAATTTATCATCAATTTAAATATGAAAAATCTAATAATAATACAAAAATTTCAAAACAAAAATAATTAAAAAAACTAACCCTCGGTGGTTGATTTTTCATTTGTGACCGTGAATAGTTGTGAGGGTGGCTCTGAGAGATGGAGATAGACGGATTTCGCCGGAGATGGGGACGGATTTCGCCGGAGATGGGGACGGATTTTGTCGGAGATAGGGACGGATGTCGCCGTAGAGAGTGAGAGATGGAGATGAGACTGAGTTGTGATTTAGGGTTTTAGGTTATGATTTGCGATTATATTGTTTACATTTTTGTTGCGAAATTAATATTGTGTTTCGAATTCGAAAATAAAATTCACGTTGCGAAAATAAACGCGCTTTGCGAATTTGACTTTTGTGTTGCGAATTTGACTTCTGTGTTGCGAATTACAAATTCGCGTTGCGATTTACAGATTCATATTGCGATTTATATATTCGCGTTGCGAATTCGGAAAATCGCAATGCGATTTACATATTTGCATTGCGAATTTGGAAACTGAGTTGTGAAATTGGAGTTCGCGTTGCGAATTTGTTGGTCATTTTCACAAATCCAAAAAAATTTGGTTAAAATCGTATATTATAAAGCATTTTCGGTCACTGAAATTATTTTCTCATTAAAATATTATTCATTTAAACGATAATTCATTATTTTTATATAATTTTTAAATAAAATAATTCGATAAAATTCAAATACGAGACTAATATATCTATATATAAATCTCTTACGAGTCCATATATCATTATTTGTTAAATAAATTTTATCATTTAAAATATTTTCGTCTGCATAATAATTTGATACAAAAATTATATATCATCCATCTAATTTCAATTCGATATGAATTTTTAAAATGTAAATCTGATCCGATCTTAGTTGATATAAACTAAGGATTTAATTAGATAATATAATAATTTTTTAAAGAAATTATATTATTTTCGGATCAAAGTTTTTCACCTCCACTCGAATCCAACCTAATCCGCCCTTATGTTAAATAAATTTTATCATTTAAAATATTTTCGTCTGCATAATAAAATTTAATATAAAAATATATTGATGTGATGTTGAAAGTATCCCATCTTAATATGATGGCAATGTGTCATGTTTTTGGTTAATCTAATCTAATAAAAAAAATATCATCCATTTGAATTCAATTTGATACAAAAATTATATATCATCCATCTAATTTCAATTCGATATGAATTTTTAAAATGTAAATCTGATCCGATCTTAGTTGATATAAACTAAGGATTTAATTAGATAATAATAATAATTTTTTAAAGAAATTATATTATTATTTTCGGATCAAAGTTTTTTCACCTCCACTCGAATCCAACCTAATCCGCCCTTACTTTCTTAAAATTTATGATCTAACATTAAAAATTATGATCTAACATGAATTTAATTTTTTTTTAAAAATTGACTTTATAAAATCAGGTGATTTGGAGTTTAAATTGCCATATCTGCTCCTTAAGCTGGAACTATGTGAATGAGTATATATATATATATATATATATATATATATATATATATATAAATAAGTGAATCATGCCTTTAGCTTTTATAATGATGATAAATAAAATACTAATAAAAAAACTAAATTAAATAATAATAATAATAATAATAATATAATTTTGTAATAATAAATCCACCAAATAGAAAGACAAAGAGAATCTCTGTCAGTCAACTGAGTCTTCATAGTGGATCCCACATTACGTACTACCAAACAATAATACTCTGCCTAGTCAACATTCTCTGTACACGTGGCCTTTTAATATTGCTTCAGTTATAGGATGCCTCACCACTCATAGACCCCACTTTTCATAACCCAATTTCTTTATTTCTATTATATTATATTTTATTTAGAGTGAATGTTTGATATAGTCGTGTCCTCTCAAAATATTTTGAGTTATTCGAGTTGATGAGTCTAATTTTACAATTCGAATTTGATTTGAAATTTTTTTGAGTCGAGTCGAGTCAATTTTTTGAATTTATGTTTAAATTTAATTATAAATATTTATAATATTATAATATTATTTGATTCCAATGTATATAACTCTCTATAACCACATATACAATATAAATGTATTTCTTCATATTTGTTTCGTACGTGATATAGATATATCATAAAAAATCTAAGGACTCGACTTAAATTTGAAAATAAATCTACTAATTACTAAAATTTTGAGTTATTGGAGTTACATTTTACAACACGATTTGAACTTGAAATTTTTTTTCGAGTAGAGTAAATTTATGAAATTGCAAATCGAAGTCAATTCGAGTCGATTTAAAAAATTCGATTTTTCGAGTCCAGTCGAGTTTTGCTGACCGTAATTTTGTTGACACAAAAATCTCTTATTCTTTTTTCTCATAATGCAAAAAAATTAATTAACACTAACACAATTCAATTTTAATATAATATTTACAGAAAATATGTCATTCATGCTATTTTTAATTTATTAAAAAATAAAAATATAATTTTTTTATATTGTTAAATTTACTAATAATTTAAATTGTACCAGAAAATAAAATAATTTAAATTAATTATTATAAAAATATATCATAAAAATACTATTCATAAAATCAAAATTTAAAATCTTGTAACTTTAAGAGAAAATAATTTCAGTGACCGAAAATGACTTATAATATACGATTTTAACCAAATTTTTTTAGATTTGTAAAAATAACAAACAAATTTGTAACGCGAACTCCTATTTCGCAACACAGTTTTCAAATTCGCAATTCGAACATGGAAATTTTCGCAAAGCGAATTTCGTAAATCGAATTCGCCAATTTCGCAACTCAATTACCGATATAGGTAAAAACGGTAAAAAAAATCTGGTAAAAAATCCGAATTCGACAATTTGAAAACTGAGTTACGAATTTGACAAATTATGTTGAAAAATGTAAAATCTTACCTCTTAAAGAAAAAATTAAAGGACATAAAATGCATTGAAGTGGTTTTCAACCTGGGACATCCCAGTTGCTAAGTCCACGTATGAATCAATCAGCTAAACCTACGCCTGTAAATGAATTGAACAAACATGAACGAGGGTATGTTCATGTCCGTTCGTTCGTTTAACTTTAACCGAAATGATTTTTTCTTTAATAGACGAGATTTACATTTTGCAACACGAATTTGCCAAATTCGCAACTCAATTTTTAAATTGGCGAATTCGGATTTTTGACTGGTTTTTTTCTATCGTGTTTACCTATATCGGTAATTGAGTTGCGAAATTCGAGTTGCGAAAATTTCCATGTTCGAGTTGCGAATTTAGAAACTGTATTGTGAAATTGGAGTTCGTGTTACGAATTTAAAATCGCGTTGCGATTTTGTTGGTTATTTTTATAAATTTAAAAAAAATGATTAAAATCGTATATTATAAAATATTTTCGATGATTGAAGTTATTTTGATAAATTTTATTAATAAAAATAAAGTAAAAGAGAAGGTGTATTTGTTGGGACCCAAATCAGGATCTTTGACAGAGACTTCAGTTCTTTTACTTCCCTTGTGTTTTGCTTCTGAATATCAACAGAAAAAACAATGGTTTTTATTTTATTTATTGTTCAAGTTTTTCATTTTCTCTTAGTTGAAATAAAAAGAGCTTTATCTTGTTTGGGGGTGATTTTAACAAAGCAAAAGTCTCCTTTCACGCCTTTCAATCAATGGGATGTACAAAATTTAGCACTTTCTCTCTCTTTTCCCTCTTGCGTTCAAATCTTCAACAAGCTCTGGTTATTTGGGCTTTATTTTCTTCAAGTTTTCCGTTTGTTTGTAGTTCACACCCAAATTTTAATTTTCGATCTTCTTTACTTTTGCTTCATAAAGTTTTCTGTTTTGAGTAGTAATGCCCAATTTCCAAGGCTTGGTCTTGGGTAACGTATTGGTGTTCAATCATTTAAAAATCTCGCATCCTCGTAGTTATGCTTTTGATAAAGCTTTAGTCTTTAGCTTTGGGTATCAATTATGAGCTTTGTTGTCATTGAAATGCTTTGCTCATTTGGTTTTTAATGTGTTTTAGGAATCTGTGTATGTTTTGTTTAGGTTTTTTTCCTTGAGGTTTGAGAATGGAGAAGGTTGAACAAGCAAACAAGGAAGCTATTGAGAGCTGTAATAGAGTTCTTGATCTCTTCTCTTTGCCTAAGGATCAAGCTCGGTACAGCAATTTAATGGTGGAAACTGGTGAAGCTGTGTTTAAGTTCAAAAAAGTAGTGTCTCTTCTCAACACCGATTTAAGTCATTCAAGGGTAAGGAAGTTGAAGGTGTTTAGATCAAGTTTGCCTCAGAAAATTTTCCTGGAAAGTCCCAATTGCAGAACAATTTTATCACCAAAACCCCTTCAAGTATACCCTTCAACACCCCTTGACGTTGGTCAAAGGGCTAAAACTGTGTTCTTTGATCAGAACCCTCCACAAGATTTCAGTTTTGTTCATCATCATCAGCAGCAGCAGATGCAAAGGCTGCAATTTCAGCAACAACAGCAAATGAAATACCATGCAGATATGGTGTTTGCCAAGAGTAGCAGTGGGGTGAACCTTAAATATGATGGATCTAGTTGCACACCAACCATGTCATCAACCAGATCCTTTGTGTCATCTTTGAGTTTGGACGGTAATGTCGCGAATTTGGAAGGGAATTCGTCCCATTTGATCGGTATGCCGCACCGATTCGATCAAATCTCTCAACAGTCTAGGAGGATGTGTTCGGGTAAGGGACAAGATGGCAGTATGAAATGTGCTACCAGTGGTAAATGCCATTGTTCCAAGAGGAGGTCTGTTTTTGATATCTAATTTCATGTGTTTTGAGATTAACCAAGTGTTGATTGCTTATCATTCCTTGTTTTTTGTTTGTAGGAAGCTGAGGATTAAGAGGTCTATTAAAGTGCCTGCTATTAGTAACAAAGTTGCTGATATCCCTCCTGATGAATATTCATGGAGGAAATATGGCCAAAAGCCAATCAAGGGTTCTCCACACCCTAGGTAAACCTCTCAACCCTTCGATTTGATGTCACACAAGTCGAAAACATCGTTAAATACGAACCTTTTAAGAAAAATGAAAAGTCTAATAACAGAGTGATCTGTCTATGATAATCATTCACTGTGATTCATTTAAATTGTTTCCTATAGCATATGCCTGTCGTTATTCATGACCGTGCTGCCTGTCGTAGTCGCGATAAACGTGACGAGACCGAAAACGCAATTTAGATCCCTGCATTTACCTGATGTTCTTAGGTGCAATATTAGTGTTATATTGATTACGGTGTTTCTTAACCAGTCGTCGAGATCACTCCGTTAAGGAACAAGCTTTATATGATGCAGGGGATACTATAAGTGCAGCAGTGTGAGAGGCTGCCCCGCAAGGAAGCATGTCGAGAGATGTCCAGAAGACCCTTCGATGTTGATCGTCACGTACGAAGGCGAGCATAACCATTCGAGGTTGCCCTCGACACACTCCGCCCATAAATGAAGAAAAATGCATTCTTTGATCTCCAAAAACCCAACCTGCAACCGTCGAAATCCGGAAAAAGGAGCCGGTCGTCGTCTAAATGTGAAATAGATAGCTATTGTACATTGTTGCATCAACAATGGAAACCATAGGTGAGAATCCTTATTGCCGTTTGGGGATTCAAACCACAGAAGTAGATCAAGAGGGCTGTTATATATAGAATAGGAATTGTGAACTTTACTTTTGTTAAACTTTGAATTTTTGTGACCCTGTGTTTTGTTCTTCATGTTTTGATCTTGTAAGCTTTTTTTCGTTAAGTAGAGATATATGACACAAACGTCTAAATTTGAATCCACACAAAATAAATTAATATGAATATCCTTAATCACTCGATCAATAGATTACTAATGGATCTAACCTAAGACCAACAATTATTTAAAACCGTGGATGAATTTACAGTGCACGTCGTATATCACAACACACACCACTAAAGCGACGTACGGAAATACATCATAAGTAAATTTGTTCTTATTATGTAAATATTAAAAACTATAGTTATTTACTTAAAATCAATTATTTATTAAATTTTAATTTTAATAGAATTATAATTAAATTATTATTATTATATTAAAAATAGTGTTTTTCCTTAAAGCCGTAGATTAAAAAAATAGTGTTTTTAATAATTTGGCTTAAGATTTAAATGTTTGTTATTATTGTCTAGATGTGTTTATGAAGAAAATAAATGATTATTTTAGATAGTTGTAGAAATCATTTTTAGGTTTTGAAAATATTTTTCTTTATTTTAGTCTCTTGTTATATATATCAAATAATAATAATAATAATAATAATAATAATAATAATAATAATCTTTTCTCTAGGTAAACTATATGTTTAGTACTTTAATTATCACTTTTGTTATGTTTTAGTCATTCAATTATTTTTTTCAAAATTATACCTAACGATATGTTTTAGATTCATTTTGGTCACTCACTATTCAAAAATTAACAAAACTGCTGACATTATGATTTTTTTTCTTCAATAATGACATAGAATAACCTTATGGTGACACGTCAATTTTTTAATGATGAATGACTAAGATAAAACAAAAACTAAACGTTAGATATGATTTTGAAAAATAAAATGATTAGGTGACAAAATAAAAGTGATAATTACGATACTAAACAATTTACCCTTTTATTTATTTGTGATGCCCACATTTGATTTTTTGGCCCAAAACCCCATGCGAGTAAAATATTTAGGGTATTTGGGCCTATCCAAACTTTATTTAGCAAATTTTATTTGAGGTGATGAGTCCATTAAAAAATTATTTTTTAAAAAAATAAAAAAAATAAAAGTTATAAAATCGAAAAAAAAATATTCGATGAAACTCGTCACGTCTAGGTGATGAGTTCCTTCGAATTAAAAAAATCTAGCTGTTGTTCAACGGGTAGGCGGGCAGCAACGGTCACTTGGAACTCGTCACCTCGAGGTGAGGAGTTCGGCTGGGGATAATTTAAAATAATATTAAAAGAAAATTCAATTTATTTAAATTTTACGAAATACAAAGTAAATTAATTGTAAAAAAATAACTTTTTACATGAAAATTACAAATAAAATTTATCTATGTCTTCTAAGTTCTTGACGATGTCACGGAGTGGTCGAATGATAATGTCGTAGGAGTCGTCGAGTAAGTCGGGGTCGTAGGCATTGATCGTCGTCGTCCTACCGAGGAGGTTTACCCAACACACTCTGTTATCCACCTTCAAAACATGGTGATGGATTTATGACATTTGATGCCATCATCGTCGTAACTACTTCGACTTGGCTGCAACCCAATTCGGTTGAGTCTCGACTGAAGTATGAAATGGAGGAAATCAACCAAAACTAGTCTGAGATGCATAGTAGTACTCTTCAGCTGCAGATACTGAAGTGGAAGACGATGTCGACGATTCTTTCTTCTTGGAATTAGACTTGGTGCATGTGGCCTGATGATGTTGACATTTTGTCGTCTCTTCTGATGTCGTGAGATATGATTTTTCATTTTCTTCATAAAGGCAAATATATGAAGAATGGTTGAAATCTAAGTCCAGCGGTGTAATGTCCTGACGATGAGGGAGTGATAGTTCACGTTGATTCCATAGGTCGATGTAGTAAGCATGTCATGCCGACCAATTTTCATTATGTTTATAACGTGTATTGATTATATGGAGCGTGTCCATATCAACCTCCATTTGTCCATATCAACATCTATTGTTTTAATTCGTATTTACCAGTAACTAAACCTAAGGTCAACTCAGAGTTTTCAACATTCTTGTTGTGAATCTTCTTGGATTTACTTAGCTTTTTTGGTTGATATGTAACCAGCTCTGATACCAATTATTATAGCTCGAGAAAAAAATAGAGATTTCAGAAGGGAAAGAAAATGAGATTTAATTTCTTAATTGATTGTAAAAAGATACATGGACAAATGCCCTTTACAAGTTATATACAATGATACTAACTAAATGTTTGGACTATACATGTTTCCTTTCTAAATACGAAGATAAAACTTATAAAACTCATGTGTTTTTTGAATTAATACGACTCAACAACCCAAACTTCTTGTCTAGATGAAACGGTGCCATCAACTTACCCCATTACACAAATCACTTTGTATCCTTTCAGTCGGCCTTTGCCCAATTAATTATTCAATCCCTAAATTCCCAATTTGTATTTCTTCTCTACAAAATCCTAAAATAACATCCTTAACAATCACATAACAATCAGATATCAGATATAATGATATACACTACAATCATGTTAAAAAATATTTAACAACTGAAGCTTAATATCGAGTAAAATATCAAACCAAAAACACTAGCCACCTAAAATTCTTTGTTCCAATGAATTTATGTATATGTTCATCCTTACACAAGCTCATAGTATCAATCACATTATCTTATTATTACTTAATTTAGGTCTCTTCGTTTTGAGAATAAATTCGTTTCTTGAACTACATCTTCTTAAAACAATTAATTTTTTTCAATGATGAAAAGAAACAAATTATAAACACGACGAGATTAAAAGAATAGTTTATAAACAAAATTTAAATTTTTTTATCATGAAGAATGACATGCAGAGAGTCAACCAATTACAATGAATCAAAAAATCAACATGCTTAACATCTAGTTAATATTTTTAGCCAACAAAAAGAATAGTCATATATTTAACAGACACAAATATTGAACAACTTCTAATTATTAGTTAACCATGCCCATCAAACCAGACCGACAACATAATAAGATTTGATTTGATTTAAATAGATAAATACTAAAACTCTGAAAAACTAAATAAAGGGGATATAAGTCAGATGATATAGTGCTTGCATAGCATGTGAAATGTAAACTTTCTATTGCTCAAATTCTACGATCAACCTAAACAATAATTTTTTTCTGTCTCTCTTATTTCCTTTCTTCTTCTACCATTTTTTACATTTTCTGTAATTTTTTAACTATTCTTAGCAATCTTTGGATTTGCTCTTTATCACTGCAAAAAAATTGATTTGCCAAAAATATTTAACTACTCGAGTCATTTGGCGTATGATAACCATGCCAAATGTATTTAAGATGACAAAACTTTTCAAAGAATCTAATATGATACGAAGGACAAGAGAGGGTGAGCCAAGTCTTGCCTTTGAATGGTCCTAATTAAAGTTTTTCAGTATGTGGCAGTGATCAAGCTGGCTAAACACCCAAAAATGTTAGAAAAATATTACAAGTTGTTCAAATGTAAATCTAACACGCTCTGCAACGATCTTTCATTCTTAGATATTCAATACGAGGCCTATAAGGGTAATTTGGTAATTTTAGCTCCCAATGGTATTTTAGTAACATCTCATACCCAGCTAGATGCTCAATCTCGATCTTAAACTCCTTAATCTTGAGTCTGTTCAACATCTTGAAGTTTCTCAGTCACTTTAGGTATTGATATCAGACATTCGATATGAATACTCAATCTTCGGTATGGATACTAGTCTTTCGGTATGGAGACCAGTGATCTCGAGGCTGGGCATTCGGTCTCGACACCGAGCATCCAATATCGATACTACAACCCTCATGCTTAGTCATCCCAAATTGCCTTGACAATTCTCCTTTGCTCACCATCTAGGAATGTTGCGACAATTCTCCATGTTCACCCTTTGCTTCATCAACCTGCACATCATCAGCAAAATACAACCTTCCCCGTAAAACAACACCATTTACAAAATAATATGCCACGACAAATCTATACCACCAAATGCAATAATATGCTCCTAAATGCATCTATATGAACCTATATGTGCTTTAAGATAGCCAATAACTTAAGTGAAAAAGCCCTAAATATAGTCTTTTTGCGAAGTTATCAATACTTCTTTCCTCAGTATCGATACTCCATGCCTTAACTCCTTAATTTTTGCCTCAATTCATCCAATATAGATATTGTTCATCCCAATATCTCGAACCTAGAAATGATTATTTAAGCTTGGAAAATGACCCAAAAATAATTCTAAAGGACATAATTTGGATTCTAATCATGTGCTAAAGCTTTAGGGAGTTAACTAGGTTCTTAAAGTAGAATAAAAACATCCTTTAACCTCTAAAATATCATTTGATCATAGAATCAAATATAAACCCTAAAATGCTTAAATAACCAAATCTTAGCAAATTCTTTAAATTTACGAAAGCTTAACACTCCAAAGGATTAGAAATACACTACCTTGGTGTTTGAATGCCAAAATGGAGCTCCTTGCTTAGTCACTCTCCTATAATTTATGATTTGGTTGATTTCCCTTAAATTCTCTCTTTAGCTTTAAAAACTCATGGATTGAATCACTAAAACGTCATTGCTGGAAGGATTAGGAGTAACATTGAATTTTAAAAGATGTAAGAAATTATTCCAATTACTTACCTTTGGCTTTGGCCATTAAAGAGGAAGAGAAGAAGTGAAAATGAGAGAAATGAGGAGGAGAAGAAAATGAAAGAATAAAAAGGCTTCATCTTTTTAAAATGGGGTAATAACACTTTTTGTCCTTCCTCATCCTTCTATTTTAAAATATATTTTTTACGACTAATTGGGCCATATTCAAACCCAATTAAACCCAATGACTTCAATTATGAAATCTACGGGTTCCACTTGCCTCTCGGGTGAACCCAAAACTACTAGCTCGAAATTTGGGGTGTTACAGTAAAACCCCAAATCAAAAAAAAACTAACAAAATATCATCACACAATCGTGTAATTATTATTATTTTCGTTCCACCAAATAAAT